GAGATATTTCAATCACAGCCTAGCGAATGCCGGACATTGGAGGAGAAAGTGCTGGGATGATTCCACCTCGCCCTCCTCCATACAACTTTGGCAACTAGCATCGGGTAGTAAACCAAGCCGTACCGCGTGAGTGCCCATTGGACAGTGTCCAGTGAGAACTAATACAACAGCGGCGAGATACACTTTGCTCAGGGCGAGAAGTTCCCCCGACCTCCTGCGATCCACCCTTGGCCTGAAGGATCTCGCGGTCGCACAGGACCTAGTCGTCGACCAGCGTCTGCTGAGTGCACGCGAGGTCCATTGATCCAAAGTTAGAGCGCAAGACGCTAACGGAGATCCAACCCGATCCCATTCTGATGTGAGCGGGGCAAAGGTGCCCCCCCCTGGCTAGCTTATCGGCTTTGGAGTTTCCAGCGATTCCGCTGTGACCAGGCACCCAAACGAGCCTGATGTTGAAATAGCCAGACGCTATCTCTAAAGAGGACAGACACTCCTTGACTAGCATTGATTGCACGGTACGCGCGCTCAAAGCTAGTATTGCTGCCATACTATCAGAGTGAATGCTCACTTCTACAAACGAGGCTGCACTACGCAGCAGTACTTCTACCGCCGCCTTGATAGCAGCCACTTGCGCCTGAAAAACACTACAGTGATCCGGTAGCCTGAAGCTAAGACTGACGGAGAGCTCCTTGCAGAAAACCCCCCCTCCAACCTTCCCTCCTAGCCTCGATCCATCCGTGAAAAAGCTCACCGCGCCCCTTCTCCAACGGCTCCAAGTCTGATAAGTAAGTAAGACTGAAATAGTATGTAAGTAAATACTGAAATAAATAGTGTGTAAGTTAACAATAGTTAACTAAGTCAGTCTCTTGAACTGCCAAAATTGCAACCTATACAGTCTGGATTTCTGAATGACCGACAACCGCAATTCAACACCTTGCAGTAGCCACCGGCCGTGTGACCGGCGGATGTAACGCAATACCTTACACAAGCTTAGGCGTCAGCAGAAATTTAGGAAAGCAGCGTCGATGGCAGTAGCGACGATAGTAATAGTAGGTTATAAATAAGAGAAATGAAATTTTAATAAAACAGTTTTAGAACGGAACTCAACTTGTGTTTATTTAAAATAACATAATTCCGTGGTAGTCGACAACACCGTCGCTATCGCATAAACGGAATATTATTTAAATAGTTCGTGGGTAGTCGACAACACCGTCGCTACCACTCAACACACATAAATATTCAAACTACTTAAAGTAAAAGTAGTTATAATAAAAAAATAACTATTATTTAAATAGTTCGTGGGTAGTCGACAACACCGTCGCTACCGAATAAAGGAACAGTAAAACTGATAATAAAAATATAGCTTGTATACTAGTTAAAATAAATGTAAGGGGCATAACAAATATTTTAAAAGTACAATAAAATAGTTGTTTTCTTTTATTTATTTAAAACTAGCTGTATCCGGCCTGCCCTGCCAAGCCCCTTTTTATACTCTCAACATATTGCTAGATAGTACAATAGTTTTGTTCATCTAACGGTTGTTTGTATCACCTAAAACTAATCGAAATAATTATGGAGTTATATATATAAATGACCAGGATGACGAGGTGAGTTCAAATCCGGGTGACAGTCTGTCCACCCTATTGAAATCCTCATTAAATCTATTTTTTTTGATATATAAAATTTTTTCTATTGATAATGCATTAAATACTGTTAAGCAAGATATTTTCGAATATTTGGGACATGAAAAATGTAAATTTAAGACTGACGAAATAACTGCCATAGAATTGCAGTTACATATTACCAGTGGGTTAACGTAAACTCAACAATAGAGTTTGAGGCAGAGATTCAAGAATTCAAAAATGCACTAGGCGAAAATATTTTTGCTAGTATTTGGAACTTTGTTTTGACCTTTTTATACCCTGAACACGATATATTAAGTTTGCCACGAAGTTTGTAACACCCAGAAGGAAACGTCGGAGACCCTAGAAAATGTATATATAAATGATCAGGATGATGAGCTGAGTTGATTTAGCCATGTCCGTCCGTAAGTCTGTATATATGCAAACTAGTCCCTCAGTTTTTAAGCTATCGATCTGAAATTTTGTACCTGTCCTTTTCTCACTAAGAAGCTGCTCATTTGTCGGAACGGCCGATATCGGACCACTATAGCATAAAGCTGCCATACAAACTGAACAATCGGGAGCAAGTCCTTGTATGGGAAACTTTTTTATTCGACGATGTATCTTCACGAAATTTGGCATGAGTTATTTTCTAAGGTAACAATGTAATTTGTAGGCATAGAATATTATTTAAAGCAATAGTGAACGATCGGAGTAAAGTCCTCGTATGGAAAACTCTTTCATTTGACGAGGTATCTTCACGAAATTTGGCACGGATTATTATTTAAGGCAACCATGGAATCTCCGAAGAAGTTGTATAGACCGGATAACTATAGCATATAGCTGCCATACAAACTGAACTATCGGAATCAAGTGCTTGTATGGAAAACTCTTTCATTTGACGACCTATCTTCACAAAATTTGGCATGAGTTATTTTCTAAGGCAAGAATATAATCTCCGAAGAAATTGTTTAGATCGGATCATTATGTCATACTTGTATAGCTATCATATAAACTGAACGATCGGAATAAAGTGCCTGCATGGAAAAAATGCTTATTTTTTATTACCGATTCACGAAATTAGATCTAAATCAAGTTATTGTAAGGAACCTTTGTATCTGTGTAGGGTATTATAGCTTCAGTGCAACCGAAGTTAACGTTTTTTCTTGTTATCCCTTGATTTAGCCTTTTTTAGTAATTTTTTTGCTGTTTAGCCTTCTTTCTCAAATAGTTCTGGCAACATTCGTCGGTGCTAGGTGTACATACAAACTGAAGTGAAGCAGTCATTATACGCTACGCCAGAGCTGGGTTAAAGCATCGAGAAATCCAGCGAAGCGCTCCAGCCATGAAGTTCACAACAATGCAAAATGGACATTTCTCTAGCAAATGTACATTGCCACAGAAAGGGCATCGCTGTACAACGTGCAACAGCATACATCCAAACGGAGGAAATTGCGAAAAGAGGACAGGAGTGTTACGACGAGTGTTACGACGCAACAAATTTTGACGAATGTTTCAAAAAGCTAGTTTACATAAAATCCCCACCGACGGCACCGGCAGTCAGTGCAGCATCATTCGCAAAAAGCAATTTTATTATACGTTAGTCTATTTTCGGTCACAAAGCGGAACGATATAAGATTCAAAGTATTCTGAAATGCTACGCCGATATTTTTTCTAGTGGGCTGAAAGGTAGTAATAACACTGATGTGGTCCAGGCTAGCATTGAGCTTGCGAGCAATCGCATCGGATCTCAAGCACCCCATCGCATTCCGGAACCAAAGAAAACTTTCCAGTCCCGAATATGGAACAACGGTGTGAATGCAAGTGCTGCGTATCTACATATATAAAAATGAAACCCGTTTCCCGTTGTCACACCATAACTTAAGAACGGCTAGAACGATGTGGCTATTTTTTTTTGTCATCGTCATTCACAGCCATTGACTATATTGAAAGAGCATCGGAAATGTGGTTACTTAATTAAATTCTATCGCACTATTGTACTAATTTTTGAAAATTACTCGCCACAATTATATGTACCGACTTTGACGGTAATATTAATAATAACAGTGATGATTTCATTTTAATGTAAGTATTTAATAATAATAAATATGTATACCATGAGTTAGATTTCAGAACTTCGCATAACCTATTTAGTAATCTGTGGTAATCTGACACACATAACCTAACATAGCGCTAACAATAATTTTATTAAGTTTTTGATAAAGTTTGTTTTGTTTTAAAGACTAAGAAGTTAGTTGTTTGTTGTTAAAATTTGGTATACATGGTTAAACAGAAAATATAAGGGAGTAATTTTTTATTTTCAGTAGGATTTTCGTTTTTGAAAATGCCACCAAGCAGACGTACAAACTTATATAAGAGCAAGTCAAACTGATGAGCAACGCGAAGCGCGATATGAAGTGTTAGCTACAATATTTATAACTTATGGACGGCTTAACCGATTTGGCTTTAAATTGGTGGGGAGATAACATAGAATCGTATATTTTAAATAATACGCTACTGTTGTTAATGTGAATGAAAACGTAAATTATTTAGATATAGTCGGAAGGACATCACATAATCTTTGGTTGAAAATTATTCAGAGCTATTTCAATTATGCAACGTACAACTTTGATAATCAAAAAGATTACAAGAAATATTATTGTAACAACTATTTTGACGGGAAAATTTAATGGAGAAATGGCCCTCTTGCCACGTTTTCCAATGATACTGTCAGAACGTACGATACAAATAGAGCTTAATTAATTGAATATGAAAATGTTTATAATTAAAAACTATAAATATTATTGTTAAAAATTGAGAACGATCAACCTCTTTCATTATTTCAAAAGTTATGTACTAACAACTTTGAAAATTACTCATTTGTTTCATAGTTGAATATAAAATTAATAAAATAAAAAAATCAACACATTATATTTTATGTTTATTTGTGTTTAATAACAAGTCGAAGGAAATGAGAACTTTGGAAGTGATCCGTTTGGTTATTCTTACATTGCAATTAACGATTTTGTTTTTATTCATAAATACAATTTTACTGTATTGAATAGTATGTAAATTATGTATACCTTAGCCAGAGCAACGCGTGGACGGGGTCCTCTAGTATACAATAGTATTATTTTTTTTGTTCCTTAAGTTTATTGGGATACTGTACTATTGTAATTTGTGATAAAACTGCTAACAAGTTTATGGGATATTGAAATAGTGCTCTAATGGGAATTTATGAATCAGATATAATGAGATGTTACCCATCGCTGGAGTAGTTCTATATCTAACATTTAACTTATAGGTGAACGGTGCCACGCTCGTTCTCACACTTTTAATACTGCTTCGTTTCGAAAATTAATGTATATATGTACATACCTTGGGATAGTTTTGTTTCTTCTTGAAAGGTTTTGGTGGTACAAGTGGTCCAACTCTTCTTGGACTGTCAATTCCACAAGTACTATATTTATTTTCTTCCAAGGGTTCGTTCTGCGTTTCTCCATCATTTTCGCTGTTCATGTCGATATTGTTTTTTACTTCGTTAGACCTATCAACAAAACGTTCATTCTCAGTCGAATTTAAATTTGGTGTGGCACTGGAATTTGACATTTCTCACTCAGCATTCAGTTTTAATATTACAAACTGATCTGGAAAATCTATCACGTAAAATAAATTCACGACTCTGCAACGAAAAAATTATAAAATAAAATGTGGATCATGCGCTCTTTTTGTAAAAAATACAATTGTTACGGAAACTAAATCCGATTTGCTTATTGCCGATATGGCGTCCCAGCATCTATTCGGATTAAGTGTTGTTTTAAAAAAACTTATAAAAATAATTTCAAGTATTAAGGAAGCAATACGTTTTTTATGAAAAACAAGAAACAATCTTTACTTTGGTTGCACTGAAGCTAGAATACCCTTCACAAATTAAAAAGTTTCCATACAAGAACTTCATTTTGATCGATTGGTTTATATGACAGATATATGCTATAGTTGTCCGATCTGAAGAATTTTATCGGAAATTGTTCCGTTGACTTTTACGAAACACTATGCGAAATTTTAAGAAAATATCTTCTCAAATAAATAAGTTTTCCATACAAAGACTATATTTGGAGCCTCCAGTTTGTTAGGTAGATAATATACGCGATAGTGGTTCAAAGTTCACAAAAATATATTTTCAAATAAAAAAGTTTTCCCTACAAGAAGTAGAATTCGATCGTTCAGTTTGTATATATATGCTGTGCTATAGTGGTTTAATCTGTTGTTAAAGTTTTCCATACAAAAACTTTATTCAGATCGTTTAGTTTGTATGACAGCTATATGTTGGTCCAATATCGGGGATTTCAATATATGAGCGGCTTCTTGGAGAAAAAAGCACGTGTTCAAAGTTTTATATCGATATCTCAAAAACTGAGGGACTAGATCGCGTAAAGTCGTGTTCTCTTAAGTTATTCAGGGTTTAATTAAATATTATATTATGTATTTGTGCACATCTCTATGAATTTGAAACCATATCTAGTAAAAAGAAATTAATTATTTTTCCAATGGAGGATTTTATTTGTCTGCATCTCGCGTTGTATAAATTACGCTATATGCCGTTATAAATATAAAATTTCGTACTAAAAAAATTATAGACAGTTTTGTGAGTGCTCGATTCAGTATTGTTTCAGTATACATCTTAAACGTGTGGTCCGAGAGCTTGATTGGGAGGTCATTATGCATCCAGAGTCCACTAGAATATAACTATGCTAAATATCACCTTCAATTTAGTGCAAAATGCATGGATTTATTTTTACCATACCTCATATCAAAAGATGATCAATTTATATCAATACCAATAAATATTATTTACCCATATAAAATATCTCTAATGAATATTTTGGAAGTGAATGTATATTTGTGCTTAAAATTAATAAAATTGGGTGAAAACTTGCCCTATCCCCATGTAACTAATATCAAAATTTTCAAAAATCTAGTTGACTTTACTCCTTATATATTGGTGATGAATGTACGATAAGATGCAAATTTGATTGTAATCCATTCACGATTTCGTCGAACAATGAATGTTGAAGTCTTCCGCAACATTTAATATAAAGTTTTCCCAACACCTGAAGGTATTTATCCGGCTTCGATCCTTGCAAGTTGCAATAGCATAAAATGTTCGGTTACGCTCGATTTGGCATTATTCACTATAGGGAACTCTGTTATTGTGTGGATTCTTTGCTACTTCTGTATATGGACAGGGGTTTTACTTTTTAGACATAATTAAATTAACACACATGTAAGGTTAATTTAAGTACAAGTATGTTTGCTAGATTTGTGATATTCTCTGTTGGGGGTTTTATAGCAAACGAGGAACAAGGGTCAGTTGCAGAAGTAGCTACATCTGGTATGATTAAAATATAATTAAAACAAGTAAGGAAGGGCTAAGTTCGGATGTAACCGAACATTTTATACTCTCGCAAAGTCAAATGGTATACTCGTTTGAGATTTCTTTGTGGATTGACTAATATTTTCGGTAGAAGGTCAACTATAGGCACTGGGGTCCACATATTTAGTACTTAGGGGCTTGAACAGTTTTGGTTCGATTTAGATTTTTGGTCACAAGGTGGCATACTTTAAACGTATTATTCACGCAAAGTTTTACCCCGACATAATCACTGTTGCTTGATATGCATAGTGCAAAGTGAAAGAATCAGATGGAAATGAAAATGGTGTTATATGGGAAATAGGCGTGGTTGTAGTCCGATTTCGCCAATTTTCGCACTATAACATAGAAATATGAAAGGAACATTATGCACCGAATTTGGTTGAAATCGGTTAAGCGGATCCCAAGATAAGGGTTTAAACCTAAAATTGGGCTGTGGCACGCCCACTGACTAATTTTGAACGCGGTTCCTATAAAGTCATCTCATACCATCCCTGAGATAAAATTTAATGTCTCTGGCGTGTTTAGTGCTTGATTTATCGCGCTTTTAGTATTTTTTAACAGTACCGTTATATGGGGAGTGGGCGGAGTTGCCACCTGATTTCAACTATTTTCACACTGTAGGTAGAGATTCTAAAAATATTTGCTTTCAGTGAATTTTGTTATTATATCATTAGCGGTTTAGGAGATATGCACATTAAACCTATTCGGGGCGGGACCACGCCCACTTTTTTTTAACTGCAGATGCCTCTCCCTAATGAGATCCTGTGTAATAAATAACAGTCTTGTATCTTATTGCGGAGCTTAGTTATGCCAATTTATTTGTTTTTGATTAATGGCGTTTTGTGGGCGTGGCAGTGGTCCGATTACGCCCATCTGCAATACCAACCGTCCCACGGTACCAAGAAACATGTCTACCAAGTTTCATAAAGATATATATAATTTTTACTCAAACTAGAGCTTGCACGGACGGACGGACGGACAGATAGTCACCCGGATTTCAACTCGTCTGTTCATCCTGATCATTTATATATAAATAACCCTATATCTAACTCGATTAGTTTTAGGTGATACAAACAACCGTTAGGTGAACAAAACTATTATACTCTGTAGCAACAGGTTGCGAGAGTATAATAATTCTTCTTGGCACTTACATTTTTTCACAGCTACAATATCATATATTAAGTTTTTCATAAAAGAGTTCAATTTTATTAAAATCATTTTTTCACGCACATTTACAGGTCAAAAGTTGAAAAATAAAATGAAGAGAATATGTCCTACAAATAAAAACAATTGAGTAGTGTATCTCTGTATCTCTGTAGCAACAGGTTGCGAGAGTATAATAATTCTTCTTGGCCCTTACATTATTTCACAGCTACAATATCATATATTAAGTTTTTCATAAAAAAATTCAATTTTATTAAAATCATTTTTTCACGCACATTTACAGGTCAAAAGTTGAAAAATAAAATGAAGAGAATATGTCCTACAAATAAAAACAATTGAGTAGTGTATCAAATAAGATTGGAGGAAATTCCACAGAAGAGTAGCTTAAAAACTTATTTCAGCAATACCTCGGAATAAGAATGTATAATTGACGTAACCGTTGGTCAGACCAAATATTTCCATTGAAATTACATAGCATAGCATAGCAGCTCATTGGCATCCAAATCATCAATAATCAATTCTAATTGTAGCAACAACCAAAAAATTTAAATAAAAACCCAATATACCGCTAAGATAGTGTCTTTATACATATTTTTAGCATTACCGTAAACCTTTTGTGACACTACTTTATACTACACTGACACTCGACACTATCACAAGTAAGGTACGGTTAAGTTCGGTTCTAACCTAAGTGATCATATTCTTTCCGGCAAAATCTGGGACGGTTTGTTTAGATATCGATTTTTGCCATATTTGCACTGAAAATCGCGACATATAATAGGTGAGAGAACAACAGAATTTTATTCAAAAAGAATGGAAATGATAAAATAGAAAGCAAAGTAATATTAAAAATTATTAAAAGATTCAATCACTGTCTGGTTAGATCGTTTGTATATCAGTTGATGAAGGTCGGTGTTTCCGGAATTGTTGAGACGTCTTTGGTCTGATGTATTTCATTTGTTGACTGATTTTTCGAAGAAGCTCGGGGTGCAGTTTCAAGTGAGTGAAAAATTCCAAACAAGAAAATTTTAAATTAGTCTTCACAAATAAAATCGATTTCACGGTGCTGACTTGTAGGCGAGTTTTTTCGTATTTCCACGTTCTTTTAATGGAGGAAAATATGCTTCCCACCGGTGCCGATGTTCCTGGTAGTATCAGCGCATATTCAACGATCTCTGAAAGCTCAACGAATGGTATGTTTTGCTTCAACAGAAAAGTAAAACATTGAACACAACGATTACCATTCATCAATTCGTTTGTCATCTATATACTGAGAAATATAAATGAATTATTCGAACAGCTTACGTGAAGTAGTGTGCAATGCTGTAATTTTTTGTGAGGAAAATAAACGTTTTCTCAATATTTTTCCCAGTCGAGTTTATAGAGTAGAACCCAACCATATAGCTTCACATGAGCAAATTGTTGAGTCCCTGCTTCAAGATATTCGTAGCAATCACCTGATTGACATATTGAAGACAATTTAAAAAGAGAAAACAAAAATTGAGGTGTTAAATGAAATATTTACTTCGAAATTGTTTCGCTTCTACTTCAAATTGCTTCGAGTCATAATTAGTGATTCTGTTGTTTGGGTGTTTGCAAATTGTTCATTAAATGTTGCAAGTGTTTGTAAATTGCAACTGCTGGAATATCATCGCCTTCAATTTTCTTTATTGCTTCTTCGAAAACCATGGCCTAAAATTAATGAGATAATAATTAAATAATTTCTCGATTTTTGAAAATTTTCAGTTAATACTTGTAAAAATATATTTTCACCTGTTTATGAACAAAAATGAACCAGAGCTTCGATAGTGGAATACTGAAAAAATGGTGGATACATCTGGCTTTTTTGAGGGGTGAAGGAAGGTCGTCGAAATACGTTTTCAAATCATTCGAATGATTTTCCCCAAAGCTTCTCTCAAGCAAATGGACCGAGTTTTGCAGTAACCAACCAGTTGATCGTCTTCGCCCTCATAAATCTTTCAGATTGACTTTAGTGCTTCTGTGCGAATGGTGTGGATGTAAAAATGTGTGTAGATCTGAACAACAATGCTCTCTATTTCAACATCAAGTGCATTACATACGTT